ATATTGTTGTTGTATGTTGTTCGTTAATTATGCTGTTGATTATTTGCTTGTTCGTTTAATTGTTCGTTCGTTCGATTATTCGTTCGTTCGACCATGAGAATGCCCGTTCGATGTGGCAACTCTGTAAATTGATGACAGAGGGAATTGGGGGATCTCAGCGATAATAAAAAAAAGCATTTTTGCATCTCACACGTAAAATAAGTTTCAACCATTTTACAAACAAAAATATCATAAATACAATATTTTCTTTCATTTTATGACAAGTCATATTTGCCAAAAAATTTTATAATTATATTTCTGTAACTGGTTTTCTTCAACTTTCACTTGTTTTTAATAATAAAAATATTTCAAAAAAGCTTCTTTAGAAGCTAAAAATTATAGGTTTTTAATGTAAATAATACAATATAGTAAAATGAAATATTGAAATTTCGTATATTTTAAGGTGTAAATCTGACGTGTGCACATAGTAAACTCATTATTTTGCATACAAATGTATAACTTTTTTTTGCAAATTCATTTTTTTCAAATATTTTTTCAATATATCATATGATTTTTTTTTATAGTCAATATGTCATCTATGAGATATCCTTTTTTGAAGTTTGTGTTCTAGCACAAAATTGGCAAATTTAACCCCAAATTTTATATTAGTAATGCAGTGCCGATTTTAGGCAGATCTGCAATTAAAATAAAATTTAATTTATGATATACTTATAATATACCTATAATATACCTAAAATATTCTTAAAACATACTTTTAATGTACTGTATTTGTCTGAGTACTTAAATTATATTTAAAATATACTCAAACTAGAATTTAAATACAATATAAGTGTATTTTTTACATATTTAAAATACGGTTTTTATTTTTTGCACATCTGCGTAAAATTTCAGGGTGCACAAAAATTTATTAATATTAATTAAACTTAAAATTTTATGCATATATAAAAATAATATAAAAAATTAAAAAATCTTTGCAATGCACATATTTTTTTATACATGCCCCTATAATAATATTATTGCTATATATATTTGAATTACATAACATTAATAATAACATTAATAACATTAGATATTTAGATTATTTATTGTAATATTGTAATACATTCTGACGACCGAAGGGAGCCAGGCTGAAATTACTACTATAATTCAAGCTGGCTTACAAGCCAGCTTGAATTACAGTAGTAATTTTGGCTCTTAATTTTGTCTTCTTTTCTTTTTATTAGGATTTGATGGATAAGTTGCACGATTATATCTTACATTATAGTATAATCCACATTTATTCTGAGTTCGTCCACCAATAATTTCATTAGAATGAGACGAATTTTCTAGAGGTCCTTTGAATCTTGCAGTTCCTGGTAGTCTTCTTTTAGGATGCCTAATTATTGGATTTCCAATTTGATTTTGATGCGTATTTTCTTGATCAACTTCTAATTCATCTTGATTTTCCATATTATCGGATTGTTCTAGTGTTAAAGCTTCACTATTCTTTTTATTAATATATTCTTTAAGTAAATCAATGAATGATTCATCACAAGTCTTGCAAGAAATCTGATTAACTTGTTTAACTAATCTATGTACATTAGCATATAGGCGTTGTTTATTGAAAAAAACATATGGGATACTAATTGAAATACTTGAAACATCATCTATTACATCAAGGAATTCAAGAAAATTATTAGATTCTAACAATGAAGTTTTTAAATTAGTATTAAATTTTGAAGCAAAATAAAGTGGCCGATTTTTGATATCATTCAAATATGTAGTAATAAACCAACGTGAATTGATAAATCCTATATAAAACTGAGCCTGTGAAGTTCGTAGCATTATACTAAAATAATGTCTACAAATAATCCCACGAGTTACCAAAGACATACAGGAACATTTATATATTCCATTTTTTAATAAAATAACAAGATGGTGTATTCCAGATGATGTTAAATAATTAATAGAGAATTGGTTACACATTGATAAAAGCTGATAAAAAGTAATTTGTCGAATTTCCTGATTTTCAATAAAGCCATCAGCAAATGACCAATCCTAAAAATCAATGTTAAATTAAAGATTCAGGCATTTTTGTTAATCAGATATATTTGATAATACTGACCTGTGATGTTTCATTTTTTATATAAAATTGATCTAATACCCTTGCATCTATACTTGTGTCCAAAATTATTTTAGTATTACGGAAATATGTAATTCTGTAATTCTGTAATTATTAAGTAATTCATTAAAAAAACTCCGTATTCCGTAATTGATTTTGGACTCCGTAATTAATTTCGTATTACGAAAATATTTGGCCAGAATTAGCCTTAATTTTGGCCGATTTATATATAAAAACTTTAACAAATAATAACTCGGCACCCAGTGATCCGTTTTGGATGATCTTACTACCATTTGATTCGTCTTGATAAGACAATTCTAATGGTAGTAAGATCATTTAAATCCAATCACTAGATCACGATCCGATACCAATAACTTTTAAATATTTATAGCGTAATAGCTCCGCCAATTTCAATGCTAGAAAGATGATCTTACCGCCATTAGAATCGTCTCATCATGACGAATCGAATGGTGGTAAATTCATTCAAATCTAATCACTAGATCGTACTCCGACACCAAAATTCATTAAATGTTTATAGTAATTTTACTAGGACCCAGAAATATATATATAAGGGTCAGGTTTGAGTTTGCGTATTTTGAACTAAAAAAATCATGAAAATCTTTCCTTTTTTAGATAATTTTTGATAATGCCAGTCAGAATTTTATTTCCTATTATAGTAACCGACTGGCATTATCATAATTCCGGCCCTGAAAAAATGCGTACAGCTCATAGTAAAAAAATTTTTTCATCACNAATGATTAACACCCCAAAGATTTTTAATAGAGGATTGGTTACACATTGATAAAAGCTGATGAAAAGTAATTTGTCGAATTTCCTGATTCTCAATAAAGCCATCAGCAAATGACCAATCCTAAAAATCAATGTTAAATTAAAGATTCAGGCATTTTTTTAATCAGATATATTTGATAATACTGACCTGTGATGTTTCATTTTTTATGTAAGATTGATCTAATACCCTTGCATCATAATTAAATGCCATTTCCATTTCACTGTAATGTACTTTTTGAATTTGTGGAGTAACAAACAACTTAAGTTCATCAATTATATTAGTAAAAGCATTTGAAGCAATAGTAGAGGACTGATTACATGGAAGAGAACTTTTCCAATTAATATAGTCGTTATTATCTTCTTCCTCTTCTAATCGTTCTTGAACTGCATGAAATATATCAATAAGTGTGCTATTTGAATTAAATAATAATCTTTTAAAAGTAGCATTAACTGATTCACAGCGTGATGTTGTTTGTATATCGATTGTAAAAATATTATTGTTAAATGCACAAGCCCAAGATTTCTTTGATAGATACAGTCAACTCTCTTTATAGTCACACATTTGGGACAGTCCATATTTGGTGATTATAAAGAGATGTGACTATATAAAAAATTTCTT